TTCTGGGAGTTGAAGTCCACTCATCTTAAAGTGGCCAAGTTTGGACAACACTGATGTATACTATGTAAAAAATCACCCCCCAAGGGGAGGGGGTGGCAGTCATATCAAATTTGTATATGAGGATGTGACATTATGTCACCTCCATATCTCTCTGGTCTGAGGACTTAAGGCAGATGGATTGTATATACCATTCTAGACATAATTATAACTATTATGATTACAGTAATGCATTATGCCTCCATGCCTTATATACTAAGCCACTTGTGGCTTTGGGATGAATTTGCTGTGCAAGGAAGGTCAGTGAACAAACAACAGTTTGTTTTTGCACCTCTGGACAAAATTACATGTTACTTAGGCAAATGCGTAACTCCAAAATCAACGTAACGTGTCATAGTAAGGTGAATGTAAGAAAGGAAAATTGTCTATGTAAAAATGCAGAGGGGTGATTTCAAGAAAGAATCACCAGGCTTAGGAAAAGCTTAATCACTGCCTATTCCCATATTTATCCTTGGGAATATTCCATGCTTACCTTCATATTGTGAGGAGACAACACAAAGATAAATTGGAACTCCATATTTGCTTTGTAATGTGTTTTGCTCTGACATAATTGATTAAAAGTAACATGCAAGGCTTCTAATAACCTAGACCCCTCGGGGGCACCATCATACGCTTCTGAAGAGGCAAAGAAAAAGTATCACAGCCTTTGATGGGGGGAACAGGAGACCTAACAGGCATATCAGAAGCTTCCTTCCCCATTTTCCCTGTATGCCTACAGTAGCACCTCCAGCAAATCACAGTGATGCCACCACCCATGATGTCATTGTAAGTGTGGCCCCCAATGTGGACATTAGTAATAGCCAAAATGTGGAGAAAGCCATTGTATGATGATTACAGTCACTGTGAACTCCAGATGTGAATGTTTGAACCATTACAGGTTAGCACCAATCAAAGCTCTCAGCCCTCTCAATGAGCATTTCTCTGTTCCTTGGAATTAAAACAAGCGTATCCCCTTTTTTAGGATTTAACCAGTCTTGACTACTGACGACAGAGGTTAAGCTACAGCAATTAACGGAGACCTTTCGTTAAATAACGTCAGGTCAGTGCTTTTGTTCTGCTGCAGGACAACAGGAGGACCTGCTCCAGAGGTCCATTCTGGTACTTTACAGTGCTGTACATCATCACTATATTTAGCAGGGAACTAGTTACGTTTGTCTCAGAATAAGGCCTTGAACTGGTTCAGATATAACATACTGTAGTTTGAACTTCCAAGACCACCATATGCAAAACAGAGCTGCATCTGGTTTCCCAGATTGATAGCCTTGGCTTTCTACCCCTGTAAACTGGCTCCTATCTGTGATACAGCAGTCTCGTCCAGTGAACTAATGGCCCCCGTGGAGTAGCTATCGATTGACATAGAAGCGGTGCCTTTTCCTCCTCCAACCAGAGATGTCACGTTGATGTTTTGAACATCAAAGCCTTCCTCAACGTAGGTAAATATTTACAGCACCAAAAGAGGATGCTTTTGAAGACTGCCCTTGAGACAGGAGAGCGTCCTCCACAGACTCAGTCCTACAGCCACTCTCTAAATGCTGCCCAGGCAACGTAACTTGTTCTTCGGCTTGCAAAGGGAAAAGAAGGACTTATTTCTGCCACTAGTGATTCATCTGGGCAGCAAGTCCTGTTTTGGGCACTTCATTCTGGAACTCCCTGAGGGCCTTTGTACTAAGCAGCAGCAGTTTTCACACAAAAGACTCATCCAAGGTTAAATTAACTATAGTTTACTCCAGACAATATTCACAACACACTATATGGCCTGAGTTCACAGAATACACTAGATTAAAATGTGGTTACCTATTTCTTTCTTCTTTGTTAGATTGATATTCCCCCTTTTGTACAGGAGCTCTAAGTGGTATACACAGGAAAAAAAACCCCTCCATTTTTCCCTCCACAACCACCATCCTGTGAGGCACATTGGGGCGAGGGAGAGTGACTGGCCCAAAAGTCACCCAGGGAGCTCCAGGGCTGAGGGTGGACCAGAACCCAACTCACCCTAGTGCCAGTCCAACTCGTTAACCATTACACCACACTGCCTCTATTAGTTCTTAGCTGACTGCTGCCATTATCTTTCAGCCCACCTGCCTCACAGGGTGGTTATGAGGATAAAATGACACCATCCCCCGATGAACTGCAATGAGGAAAGGCAGGATAAATATATAGTAGTACATGAGTAAGTAAGAGACATCAGTCAAGCCAATCAAGGAGGTTAAAAAAAATTCAAATGCAATCCTAGGTCATATATCTTTATTAGATCCAAAGTCAGAAATGAAAGTGTATATCTCTCTTCATTAGGCAAGATGCTACAGAAAGTTGAGAAAACGGGGCAGAAAGTTTTGATAAATTTTGATACTGAAGTCTGCAAGGTCAGAGTCCAGAAAGAAACGCGGGAGGAGGGTGCAAATAATCAAATTCAGCATACAGTAGAACACGGGATTGGGCTGAAAAAACAGGGACCCAATATTCCTCTTTAAAAACGGGGGGGGGGGAGAGAAATAATCCATCTGATTCTACCCTAAAGCAAACCCAGATTTTGTGGCAGGTAAAAAACAAATAGGAGAAAGAAAACGACTGGAAATCATTTTTAGTGGGTGTACTAAGAAAAACAAGTCAGACTGAACCGATTTCCCCAGTAGCTGGAGAGGGTGGCTCCACTGAGAATAAACTCCCAGCTTACTTGCCTGCATCCATACACGGCTGTTAATCACAGAGCAAAGACTTCTGAACATTTACGGACTGAGTGTGATTAAATGCCTATAACATCGCAACACTACAAATCTGAACTGGCTGCTCCTTTCTCACTAGCCCGTGACTTCTTCTCCAGGGAGCATTTGACTGTTTCACAGTTGTCTTTCTGACTCAGCTGCTGGCAGAGGCCACAACAGTTGCAATTAACTGGGACTCCAGACTTTCTGATAGCCTCTTGGCAATCCTCCCCATAGCCACCATAGGCCAAGGTTACTGCTCAGTAAACAGTGACATCTGCTCAGTTGTACTTTCCTGGACTTATTGCTTTATTATTTGAAATGAAGCCATTAGCAGGCAGAGTGTAATTACTGTGTGCAAATGGAGCATTTCTCATGCATAAAACAGGTACCCAAACAAAAACCGCGATCCTAATTTAAGGCATTCAATTTGGGATAGAGAAATAGTGTGATATATTTTGTGTCATTGAACCAAGTAAGTATTGAGGAAGACTGGTGATTAAAAAGGCTCCGTTTTCCAAAATGTTGAGTTTAGGAGAGAGTAAAGGAGTTATTTGTATTTAATTTTTTTAACCATATTTATACCGGCTCCCCCCAGGCTCAGAAACTCTGAATAAATTGCAGTATTAACAGTCACAAACTATAACTAGCAGCATATACTTTTTTCCAGGAGAGAAAGGTAAGTTTAGAATACAGTCAGTTAAGAATACAGGTATGTATTCAGTAACAAATCACTGAACAGATAACTGAGATCCTAGGTGGTAAAATCACAGGGATTTTACAAAGTGCTGGAGGGGTAAAAATGCACCTAAAAGACCACTAAGAATAGAAACACATAACCTCTTATTTTAATGTAAATGAAATAAAATTGAGGTTTTGTGCTGGCCCCACCCACTTTGGGAAATGAACACAGTACTTAAAAGCCAAAGGTATTCTTCAGCCAGAAAGAAGTTGTGCACAGCTAATTAAAAGGACAGCTAGGGGTACAGGTGTCTATTCCTAACCTTATTGATGCTAAAATGACAAAACCCCAAACAATAAACCACCTTTCATACATGCAATGTTGCACATAAAGGATGATGTTTGCATCATGATGTTGCCATGCATTTCTCTCTCGTTCTCTCTTGCATACAGGCACACACATTGCCTAGGACTAAGGTTATGTCATTTCTGGTGAGATCTTTTCCCTGGTCAGGTGTCAGGTTCAGCCCAAAGAACTCCCCGAGACAGTGCAGATACAGTTCTGTTGCATTTATTTTATTAGCTTCCACCTCAAGACAGAAATCTCTCCAGACTGAATCTAACTTCCCAAGCCAGCAAG